CGGGTTTGGGAAAAAGCCGTTCTGGCCACTTTGGAATTTCTATAAATAGGGGTTGTGGTGGAAGAGGAAATGGGGTTTTTTAGAGAGAAGTTTTAGAGAGAAGGACTCTGGGCCAAGAAGCTTGATTTTGGAAGATGGAAGTTCCCGGGTTGAGCTTCGGAAGGAAATTTCACTTCTTCTCAGCTCTTGGCAATGCTGAGCCAATATTCAGGTTAGGGAAGCTTCATGCATTGTTTTCTTTGAAATTGGCTTAAGTTGGTCATATGTTGTGTGTTGATAATATGTGTTATGTTGTTAAAGTTGTTATACATTATGAAACTAAGTTGTTTTTATGTTGTTTATTGTGGAGTTATTAATAAGTTGAGATGTATAAGTTGAAGTAGTTTAAAGTTGTAAATGTTGTTTAAAGTTGTATAAGTTGCCTATTGTAAGATGTTTATAGTCGTATTGTTGTAAGATGCCTATTGTTGTATTGCTGTAAGTTGCCTATTGCTGTAAGATGTCTATTGTTGTAATTTTGTAAGTTGTCTATTGTTGTAAGGTGCCTATTTTCGTAAAGTTGTAAAGATATCTATTGTTGTAAAGTTGAAAAGTTAGGGACATATGGCGAAGATATATGTCCTATGTTGAGATACATAGTACTAAGGTGATAAGTTGAAAGTTGTTTTAAAGTTGAAAGTTGTTTTAAAGTTGAAAGTTGTTTTAAAGTTGAATCCCTTAGTACTGTGTGGGTGACATGGAATTAGTCGATCCATGTCATGGTTGAATGACCAATTTTGAGTAAGTTATCTAGTTAGAGATGTAGTCTTTGACTAGGTACTGGAGGGTGTGTGGTACTTGGAGGACAGTGGGTGGGCTAATTCCATATATGGATTGGTGATGCTAGCCAAGGCCGTCGTAGGCTCATACCCAAACCCTTCTGTCCTGACAGTAGTACTGGACCTCTGAGTCTAAGTGGCACACCTGAGAAATCAACTATTGTTGTCTATACCTGGTTCTCTTCAGAGTTCCTAACATTGTTCTATACCTGACCTGGTTGAGATAGGTCAAACGCTGGATTCGGTAGGGCTTATGCCACCTAGACTGCTCAACCTCAGTTGTTGGAGATCTCCGAGTTGAAATGTGTGACGACGCATAAGTTGATGATGATGAGTTGATTTGTTGTTGATATGAGTTGTATATTTGTTATTGTGTTGTTAAGTTGTGATTGTGTTGTGATTGTGTTGTGATGAGTTGTTGATCACTAAGACTAGAGGAGAAGTTTTTGAAGTTGCTCATCCCATTGTGCGGATTGAGATAGTTGTGGTGCTTTGAGAGCCCAATTTGTTTAAAAACCCTCCTTGGAAAGTTGTTCCTTGGAAGGGATGATGTTTTGTTCTCCTCTAGGCTTGGTTGGTCCCGTGTGTGGGCAAGGTCAAGGTACACGTGTATGAAGTGACTACGGTATAGGGGCCAGGCCGATCTATAGCGATTACAAGCGGCCAATTTGAATAAAGTGTGATATGTTGAAAATGTTGTTGCTATTAGATGATATTGTGTATCTATTGTTGTAGGTGTTATGTTGCTTTATGTTGCAAGTTGAAAGTAGAATTCTATTGTTGTTTATCATAAGTTGAGGCTATTTTTTTTATGTTTATTGTTGTGAGCTTACCCTAACGTGTTTTCCCTGTCGTTGGGACTGCGATGATCATACTTGGTATGGGAGCAAGTCAGAGCTAGCTTGGAGTTGAGGTGACCACTACGAGACAGGGAGTTTTGATCCTCGTGTTAGAGTTACCACCTTGGGTAGTAGTTTTGTGCTTGACCGGCACTAGGAGATAGTAGTTTTGGATAACTGTATAAATACCTAATACTTAAAAACTTAATGATTCTTATATATTTTCATGTTTTTTTTGTATTTATAAGTTATCCAATTTTATTATTTATCTTAGTTCATTATTTTTAGTGCGATTCCACTAAGTGTAGGGACCACGGCGGGTCGTTACACCCATAATTCTAAGGGACTCTTTCTTTACCCAATTCCCTCATGTAACATTGCATACAAATAATTCTTTTTTCTCCTGT